AGTAGGTATCCCCTTTTCTGTACAGATGTGTAACTATAGATGTTGACTGCTATACCTCTTCATTGAATGAGTCATTGTAATAGATGTGTTAAAATTGAATTTAATAAATTTAATAAATCGTTTCAGAATATGATGAAAGACGATTTTGAGCGAAAACGGTCTCTAGATGTTAAATTTTATATTTATACTACTATAATAGTACCTATTAAACACAAATCGTTGCATTTTATAAAATAGTAAAATATTATAATACTATATTATTTCAATCGATATTATAGGTAAGCCGTATATCGATATTATAGGTACATATGCTTTACAATAAAAGTTTTTAACTAATTATATATTATATTGTAAAAACGACTTTTTGGTAACCATATTGGCATAGAACATTGGTGTCAATTATACTACAGTACTACACGAACATGTTCAAGTAGGCCCATTATCTTCTTGAATAATAAATAATTTAAAATAAATAAATAGCTGGAGACCCCACGCCTGATTCAAACGTTTTATGTTAATACCATTATTTTTTTCCGAAAAAATGATCATGCCGGTGTATCTTAAATATTTTCAAATTGCTATAATAACAACTTATGAGAAACCTTGTATTAATAACTATTCAAGATTTTTGACCCAATTAAAAAAGTTGATTTATTGATTAATCGGAAAAAAATTGAAAAAACTAACTTAATTTCAAATATCAATAATTAATTCAAAATGTTTTTAAAATATTGTCATGTAAAATAAAATGATAAAATAAACATTTGGTGACAATTGCAAGTATCTACGGATATTCGTTTTTGAATTACAAACAAAATATCTAAAACCCATTGAGGAGAAATAGTTAATTTACGGTTGAATATCCAATGTCAAAAAAATATGAATTTCAAATGCTCATAAAAAATTAATGTGATTTTTCGGGAAATTTATTTTTTTTTTGTTAAGAGCATTGGTAGAAAAACTTGTATAACATTTTTAAACCTTCGATATAAACAGAACAAATTTATGAATTTGTAGCTATAACATAATTCGCAAATTTACTTGATTTTGATATTTTCAATATTTTTTAGTTGGTAGGTATATGAAGAACGTTTGAGGAACCTTATTTTAGATTTTCAAACTTTTCGACTATGTGAAAATATTTCGACTTTTAAAGAACAAAAAAAATTAAATCAAATATATGAAATGTCTAAAATAGCCCATAAAGTGTCAAATAATTTTGTAAGAGTGCCAAGTATCTACGATGGTTATACCTTTTTTGAGTTACACCAAAAAAATAATATCGATTTTGTCCCAACTATATCAAGAAAATTGATAGACATATTTAACTTTCACCTCTTAAAAGAATCAACTAGATCCAATTTGACATTTGAAACCACATTCGAAGTTGAAAATTAAAGCATTTTTCTTCTACTTTTCGTATACCTACACAAAATAAAAAAGATACAGATTATTCTAAAATGATATTATTTATTATTTTTTGACGTGAAACATGATTATGATCAATTATTACAAGGCCGTAATAATATTTTTATCATTGACTTTCACCACAAGTTCAATATAATACAACTGAACGAAAAAGTCAACAATAATTATGTGAGGGGACAAATATTAAGGGTTTTTGAGGGTGTTATTAAGCCCCCTGAGCTACTCTCCAGATACGCCTATGCATAATAATCAAGTAGGAATTAAAATTTTAAAAAATGTCATAACATTGATTTCGTCGATCCGGGTTTTTTTAAAAGTACCTACTCAATGATATGTATTTTTTCGGTCCCTCAAAGTCCTGCAAAGTAGATCCGATTTTGCTATACCAAAAACCTTCACGTCATATAGATGTCGACGATGAAGCGTTTTTTTCTAATAAAAAATTGTCTTCAGGTATAAACCCACACACACAATAAGTACATATTATTATTTTGTTTCACTTCGTTCAGAACCAAAAAAAAAAAAAAAAGAAGAAGAAAAAGTGATCACGTTTACGCAACTCGGCCGCTTGCGATATAATATATAATACACAATACACTTATATATATGTATATAATATTTTATATGTATCTTTATATATTATATAGGTCGGCTCGCACACATATACCACTACCGCGGTCGTTTTTGCCGGACCTTAATTAATATACGCTGGGTGGTCCGCGGCGGCGTTGATCGTCACGACATGTCAACGTCCGTCGTCTACTCCGATCGTATAGGTACGCGCACGCGCACTATACCTATATATATATTATACATGTATAGGTACGTCGTTGTTACACCGCTCGGGCCGCTTATTATTATTATTATTATTATCATTATCATTATATACAATATCATATTATAATATACACACCGAAGCGGCGAGTGTATCGTATATGTATGTTTGTATTATTATTATTACTATACGACGTATATTATATTGCAGAACACGATATTAAATAATGCATTTGCGTGCGTGCGAGCGTGCGTGTGTGGACTACCCGTGTACACACAATAATATTGTATAGGTATATAGGTATACCTATACGTTGTTATATTATATACCGGGTTATGTTATAAACGTATACGTCGACTTTTGTACCCATTATATTATATATACAATAATAATATAATATACACGAAACGCCGTACGAGGGGCAGAACGTCGTACCTATTATATAGGTATGTGTATATATGCGTTTATATATATATATGTGTACGAGTAAAAAACACTGTATATAATAACATAATATATAGGTATACCCGCTGTAAGGAATAAACGATGTTTTTTTCATTGCGATCGCGAGCACCCGCGTGTGCAGTCCATATATTATAACATAATATTATATACGTATAAGTCCACCGCCTTGGCTCCTGTCACTGTCCGTTCACCTGCATATATATGTATATACGTGTTAAGTAAAAAAAAACATTATAATTATATGCATGCAGGTAAGCGCGTTGTACTGTACCTACTATTAATATAATACACGTAGCACGCGGTTAATACCGTTAAAAAACGTTAACACTATATTATAATATACGCAGACGTATAGGTATATCGTTTATCGAGCAAGTACCATAATATAAACATGTAATATAAATACCATATATTTTATTATTATCATACCCTTTACCGCGTGTCGGGTAATACCGTAACTATTGCAGTTATTGTTGTTGAACGTCATCGACGGTGATTCGCTTTTTTCCTCCCCCCGAAATCCGGCGGCGTGACTTAGCGATCGATGATGTCGGGGCACACCGTGTGTCTCGGTAACTCGAATGTTAAGGAGAATAAAATGTTTACATTTGACTTAATATATTGTACTTTTCGAGTTATATACCTCAGACACAACATAAAAATACTTCAAGGGGCAAGAAAAAAATCGAGTTATCAATACTCTACTAAATTATATTATATTATATTTTAAGGACAGTTGTGCGGCAACAACGATAAAGCAAATAGTTCGGCCCATTGAAGACTGAACAAATCCGATAAAATGTCCACCTAATTCCGGGACACACGTCATCTCCGACATTGTGATTCACGACACAACATCAAAAACTCCAAAAAACCTCCATATTGTAGTAATTTTATACGTATAAAACGTACCTACCTAAGTATATATGCTATTTACTGATCAATGTCCAAATGGTTATATTTCCCTATAGGTGTTTAATCTAATTACTTTCCTATTTACTTCACATCAGTACACAAGCCAAGTGGGAATTCCGGATATCCCCAGAAATTAATTAATTTCATTCATACTCCTTGCCTGTCTGCTTAGTGCTTAACTTGAACCTAACAAACTGACGAACTTTAGAAACTTGTAACTTGTTTTTCACTGGAATTTTTCCCACTCATATTCGTTTCAATTATAGTCCTAACGCGTATCAGTGCTCGAGTACATGCCTATCAGTTAGATATTTTTCCTTAGCGATCTTCTTTCTGAAACGTTTCCAAATAGAAGTATACTTTCTTCATAAGTTTGTTCCCGTTCGCCGTCATTATATTGCACAATTATCCTTCTAGATGGTATTAATGGATTTCGTTTTGATAAGAAGACAATGTATTTAAGGTAAAAATACTATTTTTCTGAACAGTTGGCTGTTTATGCATTGTGCACACTCTTAGTTTTATATTCGGGAACGAATACACTTTCTGTAGGTATGTAAATTGAGATTTTGTTTCAAAGTTTATTAGGAACACGATGATTTTGAATAAATGGATTATGGGGTCATTGGGAAGTGGAAACTGGAAAAGACACGCACCGTAGCGTATTGCAACCTCTATGCATAAAAAAAATAATAATAATAAAAGCGATTTTGATGTATACTTGTTGAAAAATGAAAAGCTAATAGACCGATGGAAAAAATGTCACGCGACATAATATTATCAACAGTGAAATAATATTAAACTAATGTCACTGGTTTCCCGATAAATTATGTCAAGGGTATACTATACTACAAACACTGTCGACCGATGCACATAAATGTTTAATCCGAATTTACGTGTATATTGATTATGTTTTAATTATACATAAAGTTCTGCAATGATAACATATGAAACCAGTAGTAAATTATAGTAGTGTAGTATATACATACTATATAGTGCTGCATACTACAGTTTACTATATATTTTTGATATAACATATTTATATATTGGGTAAGGCAAATGTAAAATATTAAGTCGAATTTATATACTATATTATTATACAACAGCCAAGAAGGTATAAAGCTATAGATATTCAATATTCTTTGAAATGATAATAACCACGTAAATTCAGTTATCAAGAAAAGGTCACGACCTGCAACGTTCGACTTCCTGCAGCTCATATAACATGCATCGAGGCTTGTACATAATAATATGTATATTGATATTATAATACTATGTTATGTGCAAGGCGTATAACTGCAGCTACTAAAACTAACGACCTATGTTGTAGGTATAGTTAGGGAGAAATAATGGAATATTATACAAAATAAATGAACGGTAAGGTAAATAAACCATTTATTGAGCGCATGTCCCACCGATGACACCGTCGCGCTATGCTCGCCGACCTCATAGGTGGGTCGAAGCACGGAAAAATGTCGTATGCGACCAACACGACCAGGTTGGGACGTCTTTTTATACTTCTGAGGACTCGTCTGTAGCACACCGTCGTCCGTCGCCCGAGTTCCATATTTGGATGCCAATTTATTCTCGAAGTTCTGCTGCTATCCCGCTGAAAAACCTACACATCCACGGGCAGCTCATCGATACCGCGGTTACCATCGCCTAACGACTACGGTTATATTCTTCGTTTGGGTTTGGTACATCCCGCTATACGTCCTTCGCCCTGTTTACAACCGCCTCCGAGTTTATTCGGTGTGTTTGAGCCCTGCAGTACTACGTTATGTATATATAATATAATGAAACAATACATTATTCATCACAACAAGCCGACAGTGTTTTGTGTTTAGAGTCACCCAGCACCTCAACAATCCCGAGTCATGGTTCTTCGTACCATTTTACCGCGTCTCAATCAAAACGAGTAACAAAATTGAAAATACGAGTTCGTCAATATTACGTCTCCCGTTGAATATTGCATGGATATCCTTTCAACAGTTATTTGTACCTTTGACAAAATATTACATTATAGTTAAAGGTCCTGTGTTAAAATGGTCCGTTGCATATCAGTCGCTTGCAGGAATGTCACCCGTTCCTATGATATTATATTATAAACAATACAATACGAGTCACATTGGTATATCAAAATTGGGACTAAACCAAATATTTATCGTACCTACAACAACTGCAGTGTTAGTAAATGTACCAACTTACTGTAAATTTGATATTAAAGACATAAAGCGATATTTGATAGGTACCTATATTGCATAAGATATTGTAGGATTGCAAAAATAATAGTGTTTCAGTGATGTTCAAAAATATTCCTCCAAACACCATTTTTTATTTTTGTCATCATCTAAATTAATTGTCACTATTAATTAATGGGTGTAATGTGTAGGTAATCAGTGTCAGTGTGAATTCTGAAAAAGTTGGTAAAAAAATAATAATGGAAACATAATTTGTTTTTGAAATTATATACTTATACGTAAAAATGGGAAATTGTATATTTAATAAACTATATTATATCGTATATTGTACTTTAAAAAAGTAGTATAAAAAGCAATTTTTCAAACCATGGTTCATATTTTTTTCAAATAGTAAATTAAGTCTTTGTGCGAAACTGTGTGTAATAAAATACACTTCTCTACAACCATTACTCACGAATAATGTATGGTTGGAGATTAAAAGCAGAAATTATATTATTACAATAAAATGAATTGTATTTAGTGCGTTTCCTGCATTTTCACAAGTATATTATGTAAGCAGATTAGCAGCAAAGGGTTCAAAATGCACATCAAGAATATTTTTTTTTTCAAATCATTGTTACCGTCTTAGTAATTTCATGTATAATATCAGTAAAAAACATAAAATTATTGAAGTTGTTTAACACAAACTAACGATTTTAACTATTCAAAAATATATTATAGGGAATTATAAATGTTTGTAACAAACTATTTGACGGTAGTAAGCTATGGAAAATTAGCACAAAAATAACAACAAACCAAGAATAGTCAATTTCCCATAAAATTTTTTGAAAAATATTTTGTCCTATTTATTTATACTCTTTAGTTTATCCAGTACTTCAACTACAACCTGACCAGCGAACATAATATAAGAGTGTATGTACATTAATTGTTTCAGGAAATTAAATACTAGCTACATTCACTATATTTTGTAAGTGCAACGCACAACTATAGGTACCTACGTCACTTTGAAAATTATTATTTTTAAACGCCTTAAATAAATTTAGAGTCAAATATTGGAGACGTCTGATAATGAAACTTAGTTTTTTATTCATTGTAGTGTACAAACAAGAGTATTAAAAACAATTTCATATTTTTTTTAATAACCTTATAACTGTTCAAAGCGATCTTAAAAGAGGAAAAGTTTAATCTTACGACGATCCTATTCATTTAAATTCAAATTAAGCTGGCTGCTTTATAAATAATTTACTTCTTACAACTTTCAAAAAGTCGATAAAATTGTTTTAAATAATAAACACCAGAAAAAAAGTATAACAATCGACCAAAAATTATTTTCAATAGAAAAGATGAATAAAATGATAGCAATAGTTATAAATATTATTCAATTCTGTTTAGTAAAATATAATAATTACGTGATACCTACCTATAAATTATTAAACACAAATCGAGTAAACAAATCATTGATAAAGTTAAATTGGTCTCAAAAATATTGTTATCATGAATACATAACGTATGCATTGTTCATGATACATGTCAGTCGAGGGTGATGTATACATACTATAATAATATGTACAGTTTACATGCATATAGCGAATGCTGTAATTAACTCAGCACTGAAGTAATAACTTTAACACGCTACTTCAGTCATGAAATATCGATTGTTTTGTACTAATTAACGAGTAATTAAATAACGAAATGCTAAAAAAAAAGAGTAGGTACCTAATAACAAAAAACATTATTCAAAAGTAATTAATTGTTAATACGTGTTAAATTCTTAAACCAAAATAACTTCTCTAGATAAATTATAAAATATTAAAATTCAAACGTAAATTATATAATTTAATATTTTAATCAAATAAAAATTGAATGCTTCTTTCTTTGTACGCTATAGACTCAAAAACTACTTGATCGTTTTCAATGAAACGTATATTTATATAATTATAGATTCTTTTATACCCAGGGAGATGCTTCGCATTTTAATCCCAATAGGTCATTGTATTCCAGTAGGGTTGCTCACACAAAGTTTTGTTTTGGCTCACGAAAATTTAATATTATTTTTTTGTTTTTATTAGTGTTGTTATCGGTCACAGATAGTAAAATAATTATTATGATTGGACATACTTGCGTGTATTCTATTATATATTTTGTTAGTTGGGCGAACAAAGCTATTCTACATAAACGTAAAATTAAGGAACGGCCAGCTATTTCATAATATAAGAGTCTAGTGTATGGTTAATGATAATAAACTAAAAAAAATACTTATCCGATTTTGGAAAAAAACAATTAAGAATATTTGAATTGAAGCAAAACGGAAACGAAATACCGATCGATTATAATAGTTGATGTAGTCGGGTTATATTATTTAAATTACGTAAGTACATGCAATTTCGAAGTTTTTGACTGATTGGCACCCACATATTATTTGGAATGCCGGACGGGTCGTATAAGAGTATTGGAATAGAAGCTACCGGTAAAAACTATTATATTATATCAAAAGCAAAATGTATGGCTGGGGGTTATATTATAGAACTAAAAAATACTCGACCGATTTTGACGATTCAATAGAAATGTTTAGATAATAGATTGAACCGCAGTTGTTATTTTAGGGTGGCTTATCCGATATCAATAACATTAAAATCATAACCGTGTATTCGTTTTTTCTGCGTGCAATAATGGTTACACGTAAGAAAAAAATGTCACTTATATCCGCCGCAGGTGGATTTATCGTCTAGGTTTCATTTATACCCGAATAATGCCGAGTATAATACACCTGTAGTATATTTTATGAGTAAATCGTTCGCAATAATTATCATAATGTTTGCAATGATAAATATAAAAAAAAAAAAAACAACAAACAAACAAACACATTCATATAAAGATAAGTCCCAGATACATGCGACCGCGGTATACATAATAACATAATGTGCGAGACACCGTGACCTATTTTAAGTATTTCGTCCGTCTTCTGAATTGTACGAACACTGCAACAGGAGTGATGGAAAACAATAATCAATTGCGCGTACCAACCTACAATGTATATAATATTATAATAATACCGTAGAACAATAGCGTAAACGGATGGATGGTAAAATGTTCATCTAAATGGCCGACGGATACGAAGTCTGAGAACTACAACGGAACGAAATAAAAAATTTACAACATACAATAAGTACGTATGCGGTATACATAATATTATTAGAAAGGTTTTGAATTGCAAGCATATACGAAAACCGGTATCACCTATGCAACTATTTATGTATATAAATAAAATTAATATTGTTACAAATTTAATATTGGTAAAGTAAAAAAAAGTCGAAACGTCCCAACGCAGCCGACGGATACGAAAGTTGTAAAAACTTCTCAACTCTATTATATAATATTATATTTTATACCAGGTGGACAAAATTGAAATGTTCCGCGGCGCGCTCATGACAATTTATAATATTTTCACTTTTATTTAAAACAACACTCGGAAGCAGTGGCCATTGGGGCGACGAGTGACTTACTGCAGATGTTTTATTTTATATTGATTACATCAATAATTTATGATATTGATTTATTGATACGTGGTGAACAAATGCACATAATACGATATAGGGATATATGCGATTCAATAGTTGAACAGTCAAGAAATACTAAAGTTCGTTCGAGTAAATAATTATTGGCAACAACAAAAAAATTTATGGTGACAGAGACGGGTAGGTATAATAGACAATAGCAGTGTCAGGGTCCTGATTGAGCGATTTGGTCGATGACATTCCGAAAGCTTTACATTTTATGTGTCTGGTAAATCGTAATAATATTATATTATGTTGTACTTATATTGACTGAAATTATGTGCATGTGTATAATGTATATAATAATTTAGTGCATCGTCGTATAATATATTATTATTGTGACAATACAATATGCGTTGTATGGTATATATGTCTCCATTTCGTTCGTTGACGATTTCTCCCTCGCTACATCCCCTCATAGCATTAACGATGATAATTTTATTGCATTTTCGAACACGATTTGACATGAGGTCGTTGATATTATAATGGCCTATGAGTATAACATATAATATTATATACCTACAATTGGTGTATGATAACCGAACGATGCAGACCGTGCACGTTCATGACGAATTAATAATAGATATTATATATATATATTATTTTAATATACACCGATTACGATATTATTATAACATTCGAACCATTAATCTCTCACACGTCAAACATACATATCTCTTCATATGAATGGCATCGCACTCCAAACATGTGTATTTTATAGCTGCATCATCGCTCATCATACACATCAGACGACGCTACTGCACATAATAATATTATATTACATTGTATATTATATTTTGTGTAGCTCTGCACAGAGCAATTATTAGTACATCAAGTGGAATAAGTATTATTCAACATTAAACACTGATGACAGTAATGTCATTGTTAACGTGTTACTTTAGAAATATACT